GGGAATCTGAGCTTGTTCTGTCATTACTGTCAGCAGAAACAGGATTTTCCACCTGCTGGCCTGCTGGCTAATTAAGCATCTGGAATGTGGCTGAACACCTATTTATGACAATGGAGAGGCCCCATGGGATCTGGAAGGGGCCCTGGGATGCTGTGCAGGCAGTACCAGCAGGGCCCCTTCAGACTGCTCTGTTTTATGTCAGAGGCTGGGCTATCCCCAGCATCAGGAGAATACAAATGTGCCACTGCTTGGGACGCTTATAACTAGATGGGATGAAACACTAGGATGTGCTCTGTAGGAAGCAGTTCTGCATTAGTCTCCAAGCCACAGGCTGGACACTCTTTCCCCTCTATCTTCTGTGGTTCAGTAAGAGCTCCCCCGAGAGTGACATTGAGCCAATGCACCATAACTACTCAACAGAGACATATCCCAACAGGGAAGTATCCTAGAGCTGTTCATCATTATAGTCCTCATTAGTATAATTGTTCTGATGATTATTTCTGTACTGGCTTCCCAACCAACCCTGTTGTCATCAGGTGTTATTGACGTGTTGTTGGTGACGAAGTCTCAGGAACTGTGGTACTGGCCAAAGTTGCAGCCAGGAGACCCAATACCAATCTTGTCTTAAAGAACATCCACTAGCTTGGTTCAGTGGCAAAGATTCAGCCAGGTTTATTGTCTACAAATACAGCCCTAACATGTTGTGGCCTAACAAGTACATCAGACCTGGAGTTAAGGCACTTGTGCTTGTGACAAGATAGTCGGCACAACACCATGCAGGCTCCCTTAGGCTGCTACAAAGTTCCCCTGCTTTCCAATTCTCTTTCTGTACTATGATCAAAACAAAATATGTATTACATTTCCATCGTATCTTTGCTACATGGGAATCTTGTTCAGGGTATTCCTATTTCAGCCTTACCACACAGGCACTGGACCATCCTGCGCCTAGCCCAGTCATCTCTACCGCCCATCTCATAACAAAATTGTACATCTTGTATCATCATCCTGACCATGTTTGCACATTGCAACTTCTGCTTATATAAGGGGTTCATGCATCAGTCAGATTTGCTGGTCAGTCCTACTCTACCAATGTTTTAGCAAAGCCTTTGGGTAAGCAGTATATTTATAATGATCAATACTCCCACGAAGCCTACACCTGTAAGCCCTGAAGACCTTTGCAAACAAACCCTTTCATAATCCAGTGCTTGGTGGTAGGGTTGCTATAATAGGCTATTTGAGCATTTTGACACATGCAAGCGCCAGAGGTGCTTTAGTTCAAAAGTGCACCGCCTCCATTTTCTGTGTGCTGACACACATTTCGCGGCTTATACAACTGCCCGTGCAGCGCAGCACAGTTTGCCTCAGTTCGCATGTGGAGCAGACTCAGTTCCACAACTTTCATCTGGGGGTAATAACTCTTATTAGAGTGGCTGCAGTTTTACAGCAGCATAGGCAAAAGGAAAAACAAGATGGTTCCTAAACTCAGTCAACATGGCCTTGTGCTGGTGTGATGCACTGCAACTAGGTTTCCTCATCATGTTTTAATACTGTGGACTCAGCGTAGGGGCCAGATTCTCAGCTGTCAGTGGAGCTGCTTCTGTTTACATGAACAGAAATGCTAACTCAAGATCTCCACCTATGTTTCAAGAAAGCAGAGCTTCAGAGACCCTGGGACAAGTTTTTAAAGGTATGTAAGCACCTAAAGATGAAGAGAGGCACTAGCAGGATTCACAAAAAGGCCTGAGGGGCCTTAGATGCTTTTGTAAATCCCACTAGACAGCTATCTGCATCTTTCAGTGCCAAAATACCTTTGAAATCTGGGTTTCCAGTCTTGCCCCAACTGCGTGATCTTAGTGGAAAGATGGGGAGGCTTTTCCTACCTGCTTACTGCAGTCATTAACAAGTGAATTGGTTTGTTTGCTTTTGGTGCATCACATTCAACTGATTTCCAGTAAAAGACATTTTTTGCCCCCAGTGCCCCGAAACCAGAGTGTTGAGCACTTCAGCAAGGCTTTGATTCTTGCACTAGATTCCTGCTTTTATTGGACACAAAGTGTGGGGAAAGACAGGAAGAGAAAGGCACAGACAGCTCATCTGGAAGCAGAGGGCTGCTTCAGTGCGTTTCAGAGTTGCTAAGCAGTGTCTGTGGAGATTGTCGGTGTGGTAGTGGGTTGTAAAAAATACGTGATGTGGGTGTGCTGGGGCCCATGTTACCAAAAGTCCTTTTCCAGCGCAGAGCCATCAAGACCTTTTGGGTTCAAGGGAATTACTCAGTTGACAGCTTGATTGGCCCCAAATGCCTGCTGACCTACAGCACCCAGGGGGTGGTGTTGGCTTCTATTGCCCAAGCCTACGTGGCAGCAAATGCTGGAACAGCTGTAGGCCCTCCAAGCTTCAGTTTGCCATCTGTAACACAGGGACAATGCCTTTGCAACTCTCAGTGTAAGCTCCTTGTCTCTTGTTATGTGTATGAAGCTAACACATGTGCCTACTATAGCAGGACTTTGACCTTGGTGAGTGCCCTTGTTGAATAAATTGCTATCACTGCCTTCAAAAGCTAGCATTGGGGTACCAGGGCAGGGAATTACCTAGAGACACCCCTGTGCACTCACCTGTTTTACATGCACACCATGTACCCAGGGCAGGGGCAAGAAGGGAAGGGGGCCTTTCAACTTCTCCCAGCTGGGTTCTGCACACCTCTGTACCCAGCCTGCAGTGGGCATTTGGTTCTGTACACTGGCCCTGCAAGCGTTGTCAGTGCAAGGCAGGCAACTGCTTCTATTGAGTAATTAGTAAGGTGAGGAGAAGGCAGGCAGAGAAATCCATTCTCCAGTCAGATGTGACTCAGAGGCACCCAGTGGAAAAGTGCTTCCAGAAGGCTTGTGTCTCCTTTGTTAGGAAAGGTCAAAGCCAATCACCCTGGTGGTGATTTGAGAACAGGGATGTTATTAGTGTAATCTGTCATCAGAGCCTTTGCGCTATCCACAGGGACCAGGAACAGGTAGCAGTGCATCCAGAGCCAGCAGTGATTCCACCATAGCCTCACCTGCGTAATCTTCCTGTCTGGATGGTCGTGGTCACTGTGCCCTGGGTCACAAACAGCCAGCCAAACCAGGGAGCCAGGATGGAGAGTGCGCAGGGAAGCATGACTGATCTAACAGATTAAGGGTTGGAATGATATGGCAACACAGATCTCACCCCACAGAGGTCATAGGTCTATAGGTCCCAAGTGGTAGCTTTGGCCTACTCCCTAGCAGGGATTCAGTACAGAGCCCAGTGCTGGGGCTGCACCTGGAAGACCAAGAAGTGTAGAACCAAAGCTTATTCATAAGATTTGTTTCCCACCCCGAGTCAGAGCTTCAGAGGTCTCCGCTTCATGGCAGGAGTTTGTTACCACAGACTTGGTACAGTGCAACATGAAGAGTGCCATCTCCCTCCAGCTCTCTGCCTGTAACTGGGAAAAGACCAGAAAGGCTTCAGTCTCCCCATCGCAGAGTGGAATCCCAGTCCCATAGAAGCTAATGGGAGTTTCACCATTGAATTTTGTGGTTGCAGGATTGCACCCACAGACCAAGATGGGAGCTGCACAGGTTCCAGCCCAGCCACCCACTTCCAGCAAGTCCAAGTCAGCTTTTGCCTCCTGTGCCATGTGTCACACAGGGTCTGAGAGTGTCTTTTGCCCATTCCTAAAAAGACACAAAAGGGACTGGCCTGTACAAGGATCCTGTTAGCAAGACTAGCGCTCTCCAGGGAAGCAAACTCTCCTGAATACAAGCCAGTCTGTAAACACCTAGAGGTTCTGAAGGAATTTGCCAAGGCCCAGGTCAGGTTGGGCCACACCTGTCCATTTTGGAGTTTGCCAGCATCTGCACTTTTCTCTGAACATCCAGTCCTGGTCACACTGGGACACAGGGTACAGGCCAGATGGACCCTGTCTCTGGTCAGTTTCCCTAAAGCTTGTTGCCCTGCAAAAGACTTCTGAGGTCCTCCCTGCTTTACAAACAAATCCTCCCTGGACCTGGGCTGTGCTGGTCTCTTTTTTCAATGCAGTCCTCAAAAAGACAGTTTTCCTGAAAAGTTGCTGCACAGGGAACCTAGCTGCTGCTGCCCCAAGGAGTGATCCAACCACATTAACCAAGGAGCGGTGCTGCAGCTCGTAAACCCTCCCACGCAAAGAGCCTCACCTGGAGAGTAACCTTCTCAGCCGCACAGGCTAGAACAGGATGTCATAACCAACCTTCATCTGTCCATGACTCCCAATCGGAGAACTGTGGGAGAGAGGAGATCATTCTCCTGAGATCAGGCTCCTGGGTCAAGGAATTCAACAGAAAAATTAGCCTTGCTTGTGCTTAGCTCTTCTGCTGAACAATACTTTGCTGTCACAGGGAACTTTGCATTTCCAAAGCACTATACAAATACTGACTAATTAATCCTCCTAGTGCCCCTGGGAGTTGGGTAAATGCAACTTTCTCTTCTGCAGAGGAGAAATCAAGCCTGAGGTTATGTGACTTGTATGAGCCCTTACAAACAGGCACTTCAGTATTCTCTAGTAGTGACCCCAAGCCCAGCAACACTGTATCTCGCAGGGATTTTACTGTCCTGTGTATTTTCATTTGGAAGGGCTGAGATCAGACGCAGTAGTACCTGGCTCCCTGTTCCATGTTCAGGTAGTTGGGTTAAAAAGGTGCTGAACAACTGTATAACCAACTGATGTGCTTTGACATGCCAAGATAGGGTTATAGTATCTTGGCACATAAAATTACATCATGCCTCATGGTGATGGAGGACAGGAAGGAAATGTTTTGCTCCTGCAGAGCAATAGGCCAGGGATATATTAGTATAAGCAGTTTTCTTCACTTCTCTGATGCCATCACCTAACCCAGGACGCTGGGACTGGATGGATCTGATTTGCTATGGTTCCTCCATCTCCCATGAGCCATTTTCCAAGATTTTCTCCTTTCTAAGTCACAGACCATCAAGGTGCTTCCTTGTTCTTGCAGGTGCCTCAGGGAGAGTGGAACAATACACTGTCTCAGGACAAAGACAACGAGATCCCATGCCGACGCATGCGGAGTGGGAGCTACATCAAAGCCATGGGGGATGATGACAGTGAAGACTCTGAAACCAGTCCCAAACCATCCCCGAAAACTGCAGCTCGAAGGCAGAGTTACCTCAAGGCCACTCAACAGTCACTGAGTGAACAGAGCACTACACAGAGGTAATGAGTTTAGGGATCCTTTGTGGTAAGGCTGGGAATGATGCCCCACAGGCAGCCCCAGGAACAGGGCCTGGAGCTGCCCAGTGGTATCCACATCTTTAGCAAAGGGGCCATTTACATCACAATGGAGCACTACATGCTAGATTGGTCTTGTTAAGGTCATCAAGTCTGACTTTAACTTGGCAAAGTTTAGGCATGCCAGGGGTGGGGTGGCTGGGTGGAGGGAGAGAGATTACAAAAGGAAAAGAAGATAAGGTGGAGGAGTGAAGCAGTTCACTTGCTTGTGATTCTAAAGATCTCTGTTCCCTGGCACTGTAGTTTAGGGGGTAGGAGTAAAACATCATAAGATCCTCAGGTGTTGTGAATTGGAATAGTTCCACTGCCTTTGAGGGAGTGGTGGTATCTCTGCTGAGGATTTGGCCCTTATTGTGAAGTACCAAGATCATAACAAGGCAAAGCTCCATAGACAAAAGAAGCTCGAAGCAAGGTATCTCCCAGCATGACCCCACATACACACGCATCCACTGGCTTCTGGAGTCCAGAAGCAGGTCAAAATCCTTTGTGCTGCAGCCAATGCAAAGGATTCTGGAAAGCATCTGTAAATAAAAGGAATCAGGTACAAAGGTGGCCAAGCTGGGACTGCAATCAGGTGGGATACCAAGCTGGGTGGAGGGCAAGAACAAGAAGAGAGGAAAGCAGGAGAGGAGAGTGAAGGCCAAGTGTTGGGAGGAGGCAGGACCCACCTGGCTTTTGTGTCAGCAGTGTTTCAGGGACTCACGCACAGTGAACTAAATCACATGTGGGCACCTAATAGGTGGAGTAGGATTTGGTCCCAAGTCTCCAGGTCCCAGACAGAAAGCAAAGCAAAGGGGTGGTAGTAAAGGAGAGTAAGAGGGGCTAGCTGTACCTGGTGGTGCTATATACACCATATAAACAGCTGCTTCCTTAGCAGCCTGGGGGCTCCCACTCATGAATTGTCATAGTGCTGATTCCCCTGTGACCAGGGAACAGTTGGGACACAGGTGTTAACAGCATTTTAATAACATTCACAGGGTAGACAGAAGCAGGAGATGCTGCCAGTGCCAGTGAGGATGGAGAAACAAGACAAAAGGGTGGAGGGGAGGGGAAGGTGCAGAAACAGGAAATTAACAGAATGAGATTTGGCTTGGAATAATACAGGGTAACATGTCCAGGGCGAAAGCAATCAGCTACACCAGCAGGACAGAGCACACCAGGGAACAGCACTGTGGAGAGAGACATTGGGGCAGCAGCGACCTGTAAATGCGACTCTGCTTTACTTGGTGATGCAAGGACAGGTCTGGGGCTTTGGGAGAAACAGGTCACCACATAGCCTCCACAGCAGCCTGACTGCTCTGGTGAAACTATTGACTTCAGTACAAGAGCTCCTGCTTTATGAGAGAGGAGTATCGGCCCCTATACATCTCTGGGGAGCTATAGATCAGGCCCTATAGATCCCTGTTGTCAGAGAGAATCAGACTGTATGCACCTCTATCATACTATAGATTCAGGTTCTGTATGTAATTAAGTCAGGCCTTAGGTATCTGTGGTGTACTATGCAATCAGACCCTAAAATAAAACCATATACATCCCTGACATGCTGTAGCATAAGGGCCTGCCCATCTTAGGTATCTAATCCCTGGGCATTGCATTCGGCTCTGGTCATGTCCCTCCCACAAATTGTGAGGGACTCAAAGATCTGATGTAAGAGAAAAGATCAAAAGGGCCAAATGTGGTCAATGTGGGCAAGCAACAGCAAGAGAGTGGTATTTGTCATGGGGTGGTGACTTCTGACCAGCCGTGCCACAGGCTCCTGAGGGGAGGATTGGGAACCCCACCCATGGGCCTTCTTCTGTCAAAGTGATAGGGATCCATTCTGTGATGGTGCTGGGAGAAGGCTCTTTCCATCTCTCAGTGCTGCAATTCAATGAATAAAGCCACAGGCCCTCCTTTCTCTCTTGGCCCTCTCTCTGTTTCTCTGGCCTGTGGCCCACTCCCTCACTGAAAGTCCTCATTGAGAGGTATATAAGAGACATGGAAAGATCTGGGCACAAACTGACTTTGGGGACTCAGACATAACTAAATGACACTGTCCAGGCCTAGCCCTCCAGACATGAACTCATGCCTTTGTTTTAAACCTGAGTCTGTTGGAGTCCCACAGCCCTAGTTAGCAGGATGCCTGTGGAGAAAGAAGGGCTTAGACCTGTGCCTGCCCACAGTCTCAGAAGGCTACTCAGTGCTACATGCTGCTCTTCAGCACCTGCCCTGCAAGTCTGTGGAGCACTGCTGCCACTCAGTGGCCATTCCAAGTGATTGTGATGAACATCTCAGAAGATTTTGCCCTGTGTTTCTTGTATCAACCCAAGACCTCTTGAGGTTAAATCAAGTGAATATTTCAGTGCTGTTTCTAAAACAGTAACTGGAATAGGGAACAATTACCCATCCAGTATGAATGGCTACTAGAAACCAGAACTGATTTGAAAGTGATGTTTACTGGCAAGTTAACTAGACAGGCACATATGTGAGAAGTCCAAACATGTGTATACTATGGTGCAGGTCAGAGGTGGGGAAATGTGGCTCACGGGCCAGATCCAGCCTACCAAGGGATTTTATCCGGTGCAGAGGCCAGCTCGGGCCGTGGCCCATGCAGCCAGTTCTGCTGCCCCTAGGTGCACAGAGGGGCTGAGGTGGCACAGCAGCCAGACTCAGTTCCCAGTAGCCCCCACAGCAGCAGCTCCTTCCAGCTGCCACTGCCAGTTTCCAGTACTGCCGCCAGACCCAGCCCTGCTGCCTGGGCACCCTGGCCCATCTGCCCCACACCCACTGCTGGGGACACCAGACAGAGTGGGTGGCTGAGTGGATGGGGTGGGACCATGGGTGGGCGGGGAGCGGCATCCAGAAGTAGGATGGGCAGCCAGGGTTGGGGTTGGGGCTGGGGCCAGGGCCAGGGCTGGGCTTGGGTTCATGGGGCAGTGTTAATGCTGGGCCAAGGTCCGGGGCAGAACTACAATCCGCTGTCTGCACGGCCCTGCAACAAGTGCAGGTTCTGTGGGCAGGGCCATTCAGAAAGTGGATCACAACTCTGCTCCAGGCCCCAGCCCCACACTGTCACCACCCCACGATCCCAATCCCAGCCCCTCTCACCCAGTTGCCCACCCTCCCATCCCACTCCTGGATTCCACTCCCTGTCCTCCCATAGTCCCATCCCATCCACCCAGCCAAGTGTGGCCTTCCCGCACGGGTCGTGAGCCTCCATGGAGACTCTGGGATCACCAAGCAGTGGCAGTGCAGGGCTGGGCCCCAGGACAGAGCCACTTAAGGAGTTTTAGTGACCTGTTGTGGGCCAGGGGTGGGGGCAGGGAAGGAACAGGTGTCAACCTGGTCTGCAACAGCTCTGCAAAACTCCCTAAGTGGCCTCCCAGCTCAAATAATTGCCCACCCCTGGTCCAGTATATCACTGACACAGCCTCTACAGCATATTATAAATGCATGTAATATGCCTGATACTTCTGGTACAGCCTAGTGCATCTTTAGTGCAGCCTCCTGTGTCTGTGATGTGGCATACCATGTCTGTGACACACCTAACACATCTATCATGAAGCCTGGCATACCTGTGGGGTAGTCTAGCATGTCTGTAATATGGTTCAGCACATGCGTGGTGCCACCTTGCACATCTATGACGCAGCCTACCATGGCTGTAATGTCACTTAGCATGTCTGTCATGCAGCCTAGTATGCTGGTTTGTGTCATGGACTGTTTGTGATCTGCTGGGCATATTTGTAACATGGCCTAGAACAGCTGTGGCAGGGACAGAGGGGCTGCTGCTTCTGCTGCTTCTCAGGTGGTTTCCCAGTCTCCCGTATAAATAATTCACCCCACCTGCCAGCTCCTCAAAAGCTTCTTCTCCCTTGCTCCCAAATGTTCCCACACTTAAGACTGAGATTTGCTCTGGTTTATTTCATGACAGCTCCATCCTTGCTTCAGGTCTTCTACCAGGAAGGGTAGAAGGGTGAAGCATTAGGAATTCACCCCAAGAAAGGTGAATGCCTGGCAATTAGTCAAAGAGCATCCAGTACGGCCAAGTTCAAGCATTGCCAACTTCTGAGGCAGACCCAACATATCAGGAGACTTTAACATTAACACCTTTGGGCTTCTGCTTTGTTGCTTTTTGGTGTTAGAGTATTTCGGGTCCATGTTTTCAAGCTTTATTTTGTAACCGTGAAGGCTAGAACCTTGTCTTTATGATGTATGAACTGGGATTCCAATTTCAGCCTCTGGGGCTTTAAGAAAAGCAACAAATATTGTGCAGCTCACCATAAAGTCACATCAGCAACCCTGTGTATCCAGATGCTGCAGAGATAGTATGTAGTCAGGTCAGTGTGTGAGTAACACCCATTCTCCAGTTCCCTCAAAGCAAAAGGATGCTGTTTCATGTATGAAAACACTAACCAGTGTCTAAGCTCTCATTCAGCCTGGCTTGGATTTGAGCCGTGGCTCCCAGCCAGGGCAAAAATTGAAAGACTATAATACAGAAGCAGTGATAAACAAGTGGTGCAGACATGATGAATTTATACTCAGAATTTGTGTGAGTGTGGGCATTGATAGAAGGCCTCTGGCAGATGTTACACTTAACCAATTAATTGCATCTTGAAGTGTAATTTAGCCACATATTTATGCAATTAATGACATAACAAAACATGAAACCAGACACAAAATTATTAAACAAAACTATGTAATAGTTTTATGGCTAGTTTCCATCGCAGCTTAAAATGAACAGGTGGTTGGGTAGACTGTACCAGCATTCAAATAGGCCCTGGTGTGGTCCTTGGCAGCTGACAATCAACTGATCGGTGGCAGGGCTCAAGGCCTGGTGCAGTCCTGGAGCCAACTGCCATTCAGCTCATCGGCAGCTGGCAGGAACTGCATTGCCAACTGATAGTCAGCAGCACCAGGACTTCATCAGTGTTCAAGCCCCAGTGCAGTCCTGGTGCTGTTGACAATCAGCTGATTGTCAGCTGGCTTCAGGGCTATGTGGCATGACAGGAGGCACAGTGGTTGGGATCACAGATCAGATCCCATCATGCCTTTCACTGAACATCTGTCAGTAGCCTCTGAACGCTGTCCAGAGTGGACAGATGACCAGTGGTAGCTACCTACTGTCAGTGTTATTACAGTGCCTCACCACAAGGTGGTGAGGAGCCAGAAATAGATGCTTTGCTCTAAAAAAGCAGCCACTCAAAAGTGAAATGGACTGAGCTGTGGAGACATGACCTGTAACCCAGTGCAACTCACACATACCATGACTTTTTGAAAAGTAAATTTACCCTGGGTAGGATGATTTACAACAGCATCAAACTGTATGCTGTGTGTCCACTCCATATGTGCACCTGTTAAGGCAAATTACATCCGTATAAATGTGTTGTGGGTCTACACCCAGTGTGCTTGGAGTTGGCGAACAAGAGTGCAGGAAAGATTCCTGTTAGGCCCTATTCCATGCTTTGTATTGCAACTTCCCTGCAAAGCTTCTGCTGAGGTTTCAGCCTTGTGGTACTGAGTGCTGTACCTACAGCGTGATGGACTGCCTTGGCTAAGAGAGTTTGCAGACAGAGCTGGTCAAGAAGGCAAAGGTGTAAGCAAATCCAGGGATTTTTATCCCCATCCTTCTTCAAGATTTTTATATTCTGAAGATCCTTCAAGTTGGAAAGCCTAGGAAATTGGGTTCTCAGTTTTTCAACAAGTCATTGAAAAAGCCATTTTCCACAAACACTGCCTTTTTTTCCCCATGTACAGGAGGAAAAGAGGCCCAGAGAAGGCAAAGGATTTGTCCTCTGTCCAACAGCGAGTCTGTAACAGAGTTTGGCATGAACCCAGGTTTCCTGGTCTTAGTCCTATTCCTTCTTTGTCAGACCACACTGCCTTGGTGTTTGATACAGTTAATGTTGTAAAACAGAGAGTGGGAGGGATCTGGTGCACTCAGAGCCTGCATTATTAATTTGTGCATTTGTTTTAATTATGGACAGAGAGATCCACAGAAATCCATCTTCCCACCTCCCCTCTCCTTTCCCAGCTCCAAAAGGCCTCACTGTGCCACATGCAAGCCTGTCCACCAGAACTCAGTAAAGCTGCTCCAAGCCTTATCCTCAGGCAAAAGCAAGGCAAGGTGCTACCTTCTATTACTATCCTCAGGGAACTGAACATCCAGCCAGAGCCTTAAATTCTTAGAGCCAGGCTGTAGTGTATAAATGTGCCTAGCAGAAGGTCCCTGCCCCTCCTGAGGCTGAAAGGCTTGGATGATTAGGCTGGGCAGTGGGAGGGCAAATGAGCTATTTTTCACACTGCTATATGTGTAGCAGTGTGTGAATAGCATCAAGGCCCCTAACTACTGCTTTCCTCTGTTATGCTAAGATGGAGCATCACCTCAGTGCCTCTCTCTTTCTCCTGCAGGAGCCTGGATCGCCTGGACTCTGTTGAGATCCTCTTACCTCCAAAGTTCCCAAGCTGGGAGGAAGAATACAACCAGATCACTGACAACATCAATGAGTCCAGCTGCATCAACCAGGTGAGATAAGTCAGGAGAAGATTCCAGCCAGGGCCTCCCTCCCCTGGGTTGTTCAGATATAGGTGGGGTGTTTGCAGAGGAGGATAGGAATTGGTAGATGCAAGGAGGCAATAAGCAGAGGCTTTTCCTTTGCCCAGTAAAAAGTCGAATCAGACTGGCTGTTCAGCAGATAGGCAAGCTGCTCTCTCCCAGTTTTATCAGTGCACTTGAAATCAGGTATATAAAGCCCCTGTTAGTCCAACCATGGGTCCCCCAAATAGCTCAACTATTGTACTTTTATCCTGTCAGGTGGACCTCCTATCCCAGTCCTGGGCCTCCACAAAGCCCTGCAAATGCCACTCAATTCAGACTTTGAATACCCACTGGCATCTCAGTCTAAGGCCCTAAGGCAGCCCTGCAGGTGGACGTGAATAATAAAGTGCAAACTTCCTGCTGGTCTGGTCTTTGACATCTACGTTTCTGCCCCGCCATCTTTGGGTTATCTAGAAGCGATATTACACCAATTTGGCTAAAAGCATGTTTACATGGGGAAGTTGGTCTGCAGAAAGTAGAGTGTGAACTTATTTCCTACTAAATAATGCACATTCAGAGCAAAGCAGTTTATTTCATATTCAAAGTAGAGTGCCCATATGAGGAATTTAGTGCAGAGTAGCTAGCTTTCGAATTGGTACTTATTCACGCCCTCGCTTCCTTCACACTAATTTCCTCATGCAGTCAAGACCTTACAAGATAACTTTTCCCCAAAAGCTTTAACCTAGTTCATCTCTGCATGTGGATATTCTGTGTCACTTTAAAGTGCTCCTCTGTATCTGAAAGTTAATGGAAGTTAACATGCTAATTTAAAGTACAATAGCTGTTCCTGAATAACCCTGTGGGCACATCTTTACATGCAATTAATGCTCAGAAAGCTTACTGCACAGAAAAATACTTTACAGTGCACATCTACACATGTGCCTGTCAGGAGCAAATTTGCTTCCTACTGGAGGAATTCAGGGCAGGGCTATTCCAGCCCTGCTCTGTTACTATATGGCAGCCAGGGGGAGCTCTAGATTCCTCCAGGTGCCAGCCAGGGGCTGACAGGGGGCACCAGTGTCAGGCCTGGGGGAGGGGGAGCTGTTCCAACTCTAAGCACATTGCCTCCCACGCCCTACACCTGCCCCAGGCAGCTGCTTCCTGCCCAACCCCCACTCTGATCAGGGAGCTGGGCTGGGATGATGTTCTCTGCCCCTGTCTCCTCCTTCCCTCTCCCCACCAGCAGGCAGCTCTTGGCCCCAACAAGTTGCAGCTGGGACATTGCTCCTTGCCCCTAGCAGCAAGCAGGTCCTGGCTCTGGCTCCAAGATTGGAACTGGGCTTGGGAGCTGCCTGCTGCCAAGGGCAGGGAGCAGTGTCTCAGCCCCAGCTCTATGATCTGCCTGCTGCCAGGGGCAGGGGAACATTGTCCCCACCTGGGCTCCACAGTCAGAGCCGGCCCTGGCAGCAGGCAGCTCCTGGGAGAGGGGATTATTCTCCCACCTCCTCTACCCAGGTAGATCAGGAACAACTTTGCATAGAGTCCAGGAATGAACATCTGGAAATAAGCAGTAGAAAGGGTGAACCTCTGGAAAAAGCCTGACCTCAGTCCAGGTCAGGCCCTTTTGAAGGCAAAATTGATATATCTCAGTGCCCAGAAGAAGGAAACACATTTCCCCCACATCTCCCTTTTGAGGCATGTGACAAGCAGATATCCCTTGACCCATTGCTTTTCAAACTAGGGGTTTTGGCACCTATAGGCGGGGTCATGCCATTCAGTTGCAGTGGGGCTCATGACCAGAAGGGGGGTTGCAAGCCTAACACCAGTTCCCAAATTTTTTCCACTAGTTAGCCCACTGCCTTAACAGTTTCCTAGCTGTTTTATGCTGTCACAATAGACCTCTGTCTATTGTAATAGCAGATCAAGTCTCTCTGTCTGCACATAAGCACACACGTATGCACATACCTCATTCTGTTCCTGAGCCTCTCCTGCTCACAGACTGCCATTACTGCCAAAGCATGTGCTGGACAAGAGCAGCACAGTGTTAGGGTTAGAGGTAGGCTAGACACCCAGCAACCAAAGTATTGTTCTCACCCACCAGATG